AACTGTAGAGACCTGGAGGTCTGTATAGACAGGCAGTGACAAGGAAGTCATGTGGCTGGGCTTACAGCCAATGAGAAGGCAGAACAGGAAGACAATAAAAGGACAGGTTAGGCAGGAAGAAGCTCTCTCTGTGTGGAAGCTACTGCTGGTGGTAAGCTAAGGCAAGTCATGGCTATTCGCTCTGATCTCTTCGGCTGTTACCTCTGTATTTGGCTCTGTGTTTCTTATTTAATAAGACTGTTTAGAAATTCAACTACATGAGTGTCTGCCTTTTCCACCTCCCATCTTCCTTTCACTTTTATTCCATCTGGGCGCCAGCCTATCAGATGGTGCTGCCCACATACAGGGTGGGTTTTAGCTCCTCAATTATTGCCCACATGTCAATTACCTCTGCAAAGACTCTCACAGATACACTCAGAAGAATGCTATTAGGCAACTCTCACCCCAATCTAATTGACAAGGTTATCCATCACACCAGACATCAGCCTATGGAGCAGAACTACCCAAGAGAACCTAGACAGCCTGGAGATTAATAGATAAAACATAAATCGATGGTTATTACACTCAGCCCCTGAGGTGGGGTACAGGTTACGAGTGCCTGCCTCGTGATTGATAAGAACGCTCCATATTTACCCTGTGTCCTCTTATGAAAAGCACTGCCAAATGCAGCTATTTGGCCCCATGGCATCATTGTTTACTGGGTGTATGGGTGGAAGAGCTTTGTTAGAATTCTTGGGTCTCTGGATCACTAGAAACTGCACTTACGGAGTTACTTTCAAGGAATCAAGCTTCAGATACATTATCTGTACCCAGGCTCCAGACTTCACTAGGCAACAAGATTTTGAACTTAAAGCCTCAGCTTGATGCCAGGATTGCTTGAGATTTTCAGAGCCTGGGCAGAAAAAGCTAAAGGCACTTTGCGCTTGCATATGTAAGGAATGTGAATATTCGTGATCAGGGGGTAATGTGTAGGAGATTATCTATACAGAGGTTTGCCAACATTTCTTTCTCTTCATTAGCTATGCACAATGCTTCTCCTATATTCTCTCTTTTTGAATCTGAGCTCAGTGTGATGCATTTGCCCATTACAATTTGATGATAGTGACAAGGTACCACTCTGGTGACCAGGGCTCAAGAGACCGTGCATCCTCCTTCTTATTGTCTTAGAGGCATCAGGCACCTCCCAGCCCCAGATACTCCTCAGCAGAGTGCATCCATATATCCACAGCAGAAGAGAGGAGCTAGATTCAGGCAAACACCAATAATGAAATGGAATAAATTATTGCTTTAAGCTACAAACTTTTGGGATCATCTCTTATGCAGCCATTGATAAGAAAAACCCATTGTAACTAATGAAGGCAGATTCTGATTGACAACCTCAATATGAACACGTGGAACCAGGAGGAGAATGAATAAACCTGAAGAAATGAAATAGAAGTACTCATTACTATGCTCTATCTCTTTATCTCTTGGTTGCCCTCTATGCTCCTGGGCAGTTCTTCCCATAATATATCAAACATTCCTTCCTTTGCAAAGGGAACCATCCTTTATATTAGTGGCATGGACCCATTTCGTACCCACAGAGACTATGAGAAAATGTTCTAGTTACCTCTCTCAGTTCACACCTACATATCCTGGCGGGACTCCTGGGTTCTCATTAGGAGTATTTTGCGTGGTCTATTAACTTATAGAATTCATAACGAACTCATTGTGGCACACAATAGACAATAGTGAGAAGACACGGGCAAGGAACAAAGCCGAGGTGCCTCCTCCTTTGGCAGGGAGAAAAAAAATGCCTTGTGCATATGGCTTTCCTGGGGGCAATACCCTTGTGCTTAGTTGTCTGAGCAGGTCAGGGAGATTCTTCCTCAGTCCACCTGGCCTGGCCATTGTGCTGTGTGAAGGACTTCCCTTGTTCCTTGTTAACCAACTTGAAGAGGCCCTGTGAGGGATACCCCGACAGGCCCTCAGCCATCACTTGGCAACCTGTCTGAGTTGTCTGAGGACTTGTACAACCAGGGACCAAGGTCTGCCAGCACTAGTTCTTCATGCACACAAGTCCGAAATCTCAGGCACCAGCTAGTTGATTCGACTTCTAGAAACCTTAGTGGCTAGTGCTTTGGTCAGAGTCCACCAGCGTGGACAGACCCTTGGAGTGTTGTTGTTTATTATGGGGTCTCAGAGCTCTGGCCCTTCCTAGACCCCTCAACTCCATGACTTCCATGGGGGCAGGGGATGCCGGTTCAGAAGGGACCAGAGCTCAACTGGCCTTCCATCTGGCTCTAACACAGTGTGCATCCAGAGGGCTTCTCAGGAATAAGATGAGAGGTCCAGTGGGAACCCAGAGAAAAAGCAGCTGCGGACATATCCAGATCCAGCAGCTTTGCTAATGGTGACAGTCATCTCTATGTTTCTGCCTTTCTTGTGCCTGTTTCCATGAGATGGATTCACTCTTCATTGAACTATCTGCAATAGTAATAGAATAGATACCTCTGTACATCCCATGTCTACAGTTTTTTTTTTCCCCTGTGGCAGGTTCTCACTGTGTAATCCTGACAATTCTGGAACTTGCTATGTGGACCAGGCTGGCCTGAGACTCACAGAGATCCACCTGCCTCTGCCTCCCAAGTGCTGGGATTAAAGATATGTGCCACTAAGACTGACTTTAGTTTCTTCTTTTTACTAAACTAAGTGAACCGGATCCTGTAGGCACCCTCTGCCGTCTCACCTCTAATCCTGTAACAGACACTTAGAAACCACTTTTGCTAAAATGCATTGATTACTCACTTGGGCTCATAAGTTAACTAAGCGCTATGAATGTCTGGTGCTTCTGACTTTGGATTCCTGCTTGACCTCACCTAGGCACGATTAGCACTGAGAAGGATCTGTCTCCCCGTCTACCTTGTCATCATTCAAGGTTGGAGGAACAAAACCAAGTCATCATCTTAAACCCAGTCACCTCTGAGTCCAGACACAGCAAATCCTTCAGGATAGGCCATCCACAAAATGAGAACAATTACCTGTGATGAGAAGACTATGCTCTAGAGCAGATCATCTTGGAGGAACCAGGTTAATCCCTGTGGGCAAATGGCATCTGTGTACAAATTAACAATTTATCAGTTCACCTAGAGGGCCCAGAGCTGAGCCATTGATAGGAAGGACTACATCTTTGCTAGGACTGCTAAATTAAATGCATCTCTTGCTCTCTGTTCCAACTCATCCCCTATTTAAATCTATAGCTCATCTCACTACACATGATGAGCTCAGGTTTCCAGATCCTTTTATTGGCCTCTCTTCCCAGCACAGTGATTATATCTCCTTTCTCTGCTTTTCAACCTTTTATTAGCATATTGGTGTGGGTGTTCAATTCCAGCTTGTTGAAGTTGCCAGGGCTGGGTCAACTGCTCTAAAACTCCTGCTACATCTCACTGTATTCGGTATTTGTAGATGAATGGATCCTCTCCAGACTTCTGCTCCAAAGGCAACCGTTGCCTGTGGTCATTTCCAATGCCAGGGAATTTCTTGGTGGAGACCATCTTTTCTTCTCAGAGCCTGGGACAAGTTCCAAAGACAACAGTGATGTCAGCTCCCTGTGGCAGCCACAGTGAAGTCAGCGCAGGCAGCCCCACCCTTCCTCAGTGGGGCTTCCAACTTGAAAGGTCCCGAAGAAGCTGTGGCTAGGAGCTACTTTGTTCTTAGAAATATTTTCCCCATGGGTATTTTTTTAATCATACATGTTTGGGGGAAACGTGTAATAGAAACATCATTCATGAAGAGTGTTAGGTCAAAGGAACCTTAGAGTATCTTTCTCGACATGTCAATCGAGTAACTTGACAACTAACCAAGTTTCAGGCCAGAAAGGGAGGAGACAAGAGCCTGGGTCTGGGGTGAGGAGTTTATGACCATTTCCTGGGGTTTCCCCCGCTTCTTACCATCATTCTTTTTGTGTCTAAGGCTGCCTCTCTAAGTTCCGGGGGACATGATGTACTTTATTGTTCATCTCCAGCAGCAGAGCGGAGCTCCCTCCAACCCAAGTCTCACAGCCTTCTGCGGTGAAGGACTCAGTAGATTCTGGAAGAAGGCATGGAGGCACAGCCTTACTTTGCAGGAGTCCCCTCAGTTTGCATGGACAGTGTATGGGAAGGCAATTATTCTTGGTAGCTGTTAGCCATTAGAAATCATCAACCCTTGCCTTACATGGATATTATAGCTGTGGAGGGATTTATTAATCCCATGCTTCTTGCTTTTACTCTTTGGTTCAATGTTTCCCTCAGTTAAAGGAAGTAGTTGCCAGATTGGTTGGGGTTGTTAATATTTAGTCAGAACAGATGAGGAAAATCCCAAGCTAAGGAATAAGAGCAAAGAGGAGCTGTACCAGCCAGAGAGGCAGGGAAAACAGAGTGAATGAGGAGCAGAGAAGGGGAAGAGAGAGGAGGTGCTTACAAAAGATGCTGCAGGGTCTGGCATGAGAGAGACAAGCAGACTATGAAGGAAAGGGGACTCAAAGCAAAAAGACTGTGAAAGGCTGATGGACGTGTATTGAAATTGGAGGCCTGTGCAGGTTCCAAGAGACACTAGAGAAACTTGGTGACATTTGGTGGCTGCACCGAGCTTCTTAAACTGACTTTACACAGGAACCTGACCACACTGGGACACCAGTTAGACTCAATTCACAATCCAATTTATCTCTCTTTTCTGTAGAAAATAAGACCTTAAAAAGTAAAATTTAATTGTCAATTAATGTTTAGGGAGATGTATTTCTCTTATGTCCGATCCATCAATATTCATTCAATTTGAGTAGTGGAGAAGAAAAAAAAATATGACCATGACATAATTTGGGGGGAAGATTTACTTACTTATTTATTTTATTGAAAATAGATTCTTCTCTCACATATTACATCCCAACCACAGTTTCCCCTCCTCCCATGCCTCCTACCCACCCCCATCTCCCCTAGCCCCCACCCACTGCCCCTCCATTTTCCTCCAGAAAAGAGCAGGCCTCCAAGCAACAACAACCGAGCACAACAAAACAAAATACAATAAGACAAGGCAAAAGCCCTCACATCGAAGTTGGACGAGGCAACCCAGCAGGAGGGGGAAAAAGTCACAAGAGCAGGCAAAAGAGTCATAGAAACAGCCTCTCCCACTCTGACAAGTCCCACAAAAACGCCAGGCTAACAGCCCTAACGTGTACACAGAGGACCCGGTGCAGACGCATGCAGACATTGGTTGGCCGCTTCCTCAGGTTCTGCACCACCCTTGCCCCAACGCATCTTTCAAGCAGAGTAGATTGTAGGTCAAAGGATTTGTGGCTGGGTTGATGTCCAGGCTTCTCTTTCCATAGCCTGTAGAGTACCTTCTTGCACCAAAGAGACTAGAATGTAGGGGTGAAGGCTCCATGCAGGCACCAGCTTGACCTCTTTCTGTGTTCAATGAGCTGTGTTGATACTGTCCTTGGCAATGGGGCCCCCACTGCAAGATATAATTTTTTCTTTTAGATTTTCAAGACAAGGTTTCTCTGTGTAACAGTCCTAGCTGTCCTGGAACTTACTTTGTAGACCCAGCTGGCCTCAAATTTACAGAGATTCAACTGCCTCTGCCTCCCTAGTACTAGGATTAAATGTACCACCATAGCCCATAATAAATAACATAAATTTTTAAAATCTTCATTAGAATCAAACTGTCCACAAGCACAGTTGAAGATGGGGGAGATTACTGGGAGGAGCCTTAGCCAAGCAGACATTTTGTGAGTGATTGAGTCAGAGTTCAAATCTAGATCCGTGATTGTGGTTCTAACTCCATTCCAAGTACATGGAGGCAAGTGTCGTGAACTGGGAGCGGAAGAGCGCTAATGAGGGGTCAGGAACCACTATCCTTCTGTGTATAGTTTCCTTTTGTCTCCATGGACCATGACAGTGAACATTCCATGCAGAGAGCTAGACAAATGACCATTCATTGAATGTTTGAATGAGAAAGTGAGTAAGACAAAGAACCTAGAAATCAAAAGGAGAAACAGAGAATGTGAAGGGGAAGAAAAGACAGACAGAAAAGGGAATGATGGTAGGGAGAGATGGGAAGGAGAGACTCAAGGAGAATCAGAGAAGAGAGAGAGGAGGAGGAGGGGAGAAAGACACAGGGATGGAGGCATCAGAGAAGGACAGGGCAGGAGCAATCAGGTGGAAAGCTTCAGGACATGTGCCAAGGGAGGGAGCTGAGGGAGAGTTCCAGCCAATGGGAAAACAAGTGACAAGAACAGTGGTCCCTGTCCTGCAGCCAGGGCAGTCAACTCAGGCTGGCTTCAGTGTAAAGATGGTATACAATGGGTTCACAGATAGGAGTCCCTCATCACAATGGCATGGAGTTAGTCATGTAAATGTTGGAGAATATACTAAATATGACCGATGTCCTCCAGTCTAAGTATAATGGTCCTTCTATGCTGCACATTCACTGCAGAGGCACCTCTATACCATTGTCCCCTGTGACCCCCCTGGCCACTCTCTTCACTTCCTCTGCCCAAGCTCAATTAAGCCTACAAATTCCATTTCCCCAGTGTCACTTCCCACCGGCCCTGGTCCTTCTTCATGCAGTCTCCTCCACACAAGATGGAGAAGTTACACTTCAGAGACCAAAGAGGGGGGCACCTGGTGACCATAAAAGGGAGAGCCTGCAGCTACCACTGAAAAGCAAAGGCTGTGATCAACTCAGGACAGATCTGTCACACATCAGCACAAAGAGCATTCTGGAGGTGGGACAGAGGTTCTTTCCATCTGAGTTCCTTCAGAAGAGGTTATGAAATCAGCTTAGTGCTGAGGATTGGCAAGGCCAATGCTAAATGCAGGTTGCCTGTGACAACAAAGTGGTCCTGAATGCATGAGTGAAGAGCTAGCCTCTAAATGAAATCTGTGTGGAGGTACTGATGGGAGAGACAGAGGAGGGCAAGCCCACCACAGCCTGTCCAAGTTCTGAAGGCAAGCTCCCCACACAAGACCACTAGAGAGGTTCATTATTCCAAGGCTACTCAACAAACCAATAACCTCCACTTATACTGATGTGTGCCTGAAAGATGCCTTATTTCAGATATTCATTCATTCATTCATTATTCATCAATGGTTCTGTAAGTCCTGTTAGGCACTTCATGAGGAATGGTGAAAACAGACCCATAGAAAAAGCTTTTACTCAGGAAGACAGGGGCTAGATGAAGGGGCAACCCAATTTCTAAGTATGAAGTATTCTACTATATGGTATATTATTAATAATATTATATAATATATTATTTTATGAAGCAATTATATTAAGTAATATGTTATTATATACTATATTACTATAAAAATAGTATATCATATTATTGTATAGTATATTGCTCCATAATATATTATCATATTAAATATTATATTCTATATTACATAATGCATTAAATATGCTATGCCATACTGAACTGCACTGTATTGCATTATATTCCTTTATTTATTCATCACATATTTATGTGTCATGTGTTCTTCTAAGCTTTTTTTTTATATTGCAGGTTGTTCTAGAGAGTTTTATGTCAATTTGTCATCACCTAAAGTCATCTGAGAGGAGGGAACCTCAATTAAGAAATGCCTCCATATAATCAAGCTGTATACAAGCCTGGAAGGCATTTTCTTAGTTAATGATTGATGGGGGAGTGCCCAGCCCATTGTGGGTGACACCATCCTTGAACTGGAGGTCCTGGGTTCTGTTGGAAAGCAGGCTGGGGAAGAGAGGGAGCAAGCAGTAAGCGGTCCCCTTTCATTGCCTGTGCATCAGCTCCTGCCTCCAGGTTCCTACGCTGCCTGAGTTCCTTTCTGACTCCCTTCAAGGGTGACTACAATGTGGAAGTGGAAACCCAAAAAAAAACCTTTCCTCCCCACCTTACTTTGATCATGGTGTTTCACCACAGCAACAGTAAACCTAATTAGGACCCAGGTCCTTGGTGTACATATTAGGGCTTAGGGTTTTGTATTTTTAGAGGATTCCTGTGTGTGTGAACACCTGTGTCTCTGCATCTATGTGGCATTTCCTGGACCTTTTCTTTGTCTTTTTCCTTCTTTGGTCTTTCTGTCCTATTCTGATTTGTTTGTTTCTGCTTTATCTTATTTTATTTTTAGTCCCCAAATGACTCTTTGTTTTCTAAGGAAAGACAGAAGCCTCACAATGCCAGGCTCTTGATCATAGACTTCCCAGCTTCCAAATCTGTAGGGAAACCAACTCCCATTCCCTATAAGTCACCCAGCCTGCTATTCTACTTCAGGGACACAAAGCAAGGGTCCACAGCAAATAAGTGGTCATAGCAACTCTTCAATCTTCGTGACCTGATTCTCTAGTTACCACTAACTGGCTCCGAATCTAGTGTCCCCTCCCACCATATGCTGTGTGAAGCAGTCGGGTGGGTTCTTCTCTCAGAGCCTCAGACAGAATGTAGGCCTGACTGGATGATTGTCAGTGTCAAAAGATCATAGCCTGAAGTACTGTGTAAACTGTGAACTGATAAGCATATGAATGGCATTGTCAATGTCAAGCTTATCAGTGGGGTTCAGAGTGCAAATGCCTCATTGGAGGGAGAAGAGTTCAGTGACAGTTGTCACAAGAGGCTCTATGAAAACTTTGGGAGCTAAATGAGGACTGGTAGTGGCAGGTGTCTCACTACACCATGTGAGGGAAATTCCAGCATTATTCAGAACATTCTTTTTTATTTTTATTTTTATTTTTGTCCTTGCAAAAATCCTTGGCTTATCCAAGGGCCAGTGGAAATTTATTTTTTTTCAGCCTTTTCCATCATTCCTCAAGGGGCTTTTCCTTGCGAAATGCCTGACATGACACCAGCGGGGGAACCTGGGAGAAGAGGCTCCCACCTAGAGGGGCAGCCCAAAGATTTAAATACACACTGGAAGGGAGGGAAGGATGTAGGTAAGAATGGCAAAAAGACAGCATGAAGGATATGGCTTCTTAGGGAAAGACCAAAGGTTTTCTGCAGAAAGCTGTGTCAGAGGGTGGGGGCCTGGATTCTGAGTGGGGAGGGGCAAAGAGTCCCATAACCCCAAGTGGCCCCCACACTCCCCAGAGAAGTAGGTCTGGCCCCCTCAGGCTCTGAGGAATGGAGGGAGAACAAGCCAGACGTGCTGCATCAAGCAAAGAGAAGGGCTACTGGCAGAGAGAGGGTTAAGGCTGGAGTCCGGCCTTTGGCAAGGTGGGCCTTCTGCCTCCACCTTTCTCAGGGATAAAGGGGCTCTGTGGGCAGGTAGAACATGGGCCTGGCTCTGGCAGGGCAGGGGAGGCAGATGCAGTCTCCCTCTGCACTTGAGACACTGCCCGCCACCTACCCTAGTTGTGCTCAAGACCCAGCAGCAGCTGAGTGTGGGAGCGGTAGAGGGAGGCAAGGGTAAGGAAAAGGTGGGCTCTGACAGACCCCTCCCCTGTCCTGAGGACCGATACAAGACCCTGGATCTGAGGCTCTGGATCCCCTGGCCACTGCCTGCAACCAGAGGCAGGGAGGCCCTCAGCTATTGGGAAGGAAGAAAGGAAAAGAGAAACCCACTGCAGCATGCATGGGGGTGAGCGACAGACACCGGAGCCCTCATTGCAAAGAAAGGTGCATAGTGGGCATCTTTTCAAGGTACCTAGAGGCAGCAGCAGAGCAGTCCCGTGTCCACCCAAGCCACAATCCTGCATGTCCTCCATGAGTGCCCTGACAGGACTGGGACTCAGAACAGAAGGCAGATGGGCCAGAGGAAGATGGGGAGCCCAGGACACCCCAAAGCCACAGACTCAAATGCCCTAGGAGAGGAAGGCACTTCCTGACCCCTCCAGGGGCATCATCTGGAGAAGGTATCCCTTCCCGAAGTGCCTCTCCTAGCAACAGCCACCACTAGCTGGCTTCACAGGGGTGCTGTCGATCTTCAGATGGGGCCGTTCACCCCCAGAAGCTGTTCCTGGCCCCATCTGCTTTTTGATCTCTGCAGTCATCGTCATGAATGCTTGCTCAACATTGGTGACATTCTTGGCACCCATCTCCAGGAAGAGGACACCCAGAGCGTCTGCAAATTCCTTGGCTGTGGTGTTGTCCACGACCTTCTTGGTGGTGAGATCACTTTTGGTGCCTACCAGGAGTTTATTGACGTTCTCACTGGCATAGCGATCTGTCTCCACTGTTTCACGTTAGCGTAGGATTCCTGGTCAGTGACGTCATACACCACGATGATGCCATGAGCGCCCCTCCTTCCCCCCCCCCCAGTAGCTGGAAGTGATGGTCCGGAACCGTACCTGACCAGCCGTGTCCCAAATATGAAGTTTGGCTCAATGGTTCGAATCTTGAAGTCCACCCCAATAGTGCTGATATAGCTCTCTGTGTACGTGTCATTAGCAAACCACAGGAGCAGGCAGACTTGCCCATGCCCGAGTCGCCAATCAAAAGCAGCTTGAACAGGCAGTCATACTCAGGGTTCATGGCGGCAGCG